AGAAGGATTGGAGAGGTAACATTAGAAATATACATATATATGCTTAGTTTGTTGACTTTGTGCAAGTACATAGCCTTAAATGAAATCCATAAATGAGAGAAGTTGTGCAGAATCTTATAAATCTATTTTTGAGCATTTTTGGCTCCCACTCTAAATCCTAGAATTAGCCACAAAGTGAGAAATAAGTATGAATGGGAGAGAAAGGAAATGGTTAAAAAAAAATCCTGTTCTTAACAGAAAAATAAATTATTTTACTGCAAAAAAAATATCAAAATGTTGCTGGAAAAAAAAACTGGAGTTGTCTGTACTAGCAAAAAACTAAAAGAAGTAAAGCAGCAAATAGTAGGGGGCAGAGGATGTATAAGTAGCAGTGTAGTCAAGAGCAATAGGCATGTAGGCAGAGAAGACAACATCGAGGAAGAAGGGAAGTGGAAGGTGAGCATCAGGAGAAAAGAAACAGCTGGCTGCCAGCACCCTCAGGTAGCAGAATTTACTTGGTGGAACTGGGCAGAGGAAGGAGTCGGGGAACCTTGGGAAAGTTCTCCACCCCCAGCGCAGGGAAGTGACAGACTGGCTCGCCGATGAAAGGAAAGGAAAGGGCGAGGCAAGCAGGACAGAGGATCTCAGACTGCTGCCCCTCTCCCGGTCTTTTTTATAAGATCAAAGAATGGCTGTGTTCTGGGGGGACCAGAAGGCCTTTGATGTAATGGTAGTTTTGGCAAGACACTACAGAAGCAAACCAAGGGTAAAAGAAAGTATTAACTCTTAGATTCAAGATTTCCTAAACATTCATACATACAAAGTATGAAAACCATTAAATAATTCCAAGAGCTAACAGCGAGATTTACTTATTGATGGAAGGCACATTGAGAGACACAGAGAGCACCCTAAAATGAATTGTGTCAGGCAGTCACATAATCTTTCTGTGAAACCCACTGGGCATTGTCACCCTTCCAATTCTTCTTTTAAAATGGGAGATAAATCAGAAAACTGATGTAAATTTGGGCCTGGTACTACAGTAGAAGAATCTAATAGCTTTTACATTGCTGACTGTGTGCAAACAATATTTGTTTTACTGGTATTCAAAACCTTACTTTCATGAACATAAAATACGAGTTACAACAAAGTACATAAACTTTCATAGTGAAAAGGAAATTCATATTAAATAACAATTTTGCAGAATACTTACAGCATTCCTGGAGCTAACGTAGATTTATGACACTGTAACAAAAAGTTGAATCACATCCAGAAAAGTCTGATCCAAGTATTCTAAACAGGTGGTAACCTCACTCCTGGGTTCTCTACTGAAAGCAGCAAGCTGTCTTATTGATCAAAGGATATAGAATGCATATGTTCACTGGAATAGCTTCAGGACATGGTTGATTTCAAATTAAATTTCCCAGTCTTTCATGTCAGACTAGTACTACTAAGGCAGAGGAATGTGACTTGCAGCTTATGCTCACAAAGAACATGACATAGTTTACAGAAGTCACAAGCACAGCATAGTAGCAGCATACACCTACAAAATGCACCCTGGCCTCTTTATGAGAATTAGATAAACTTCCTGCTGTAGCTACATCTGAGAATACAATATAGACCTTTTCCCCAAGAAAATCATACACCTTTGTCTATATATAATATAGAGCCAAATCCTGTATGTAAGAACATACAGGATACAGTCAAGAATAATCTAAATCACCTTATTTAATGATAAATTGTATTCATTCTGGCAAAACATCTGACTAAATAATTGATTACTGAAGTAATCAGGAGAATTACTTGTTAATAGCTATGTAATAATTAAATTCACTTTTATTAAAGTGAAAAAAAGAGCCAAACAAAACACATAACCTCTAGGCACTCAAAACTTCAGTTTTGCCTGTACTTGTTACTCCCCTGGCACTTCTCACAGGCTAAAGGATTTATTCCAGAATACACCTTGGCTCTTCAGCTCCTTTCAGGAAGAGGAGCAGCTGACAGGGCTGAGCTGATGCAAGGGACCACCCTAGTTTGCTGCAACTCACAAATCACTGAGTTAGATTAAGCTAGGTCTGGAGCTATTCACCCACAGCTCTGAAAAGAATTTGCTAGGTTCCCGATACATTTCTTTCCCAATTTTTTTCTTGGCTTAAATTCCCAGGTTCATCACATGGCTACTACAACAATTTTACTGTCAAGTGCAGGAGGCAGAAATGAGTAGATTGTAGAGAAAGGGAGGAGAGTGGGCTGCCAAATATATCTCTCAAAACGTGTACATGTACACGGCTTTCAGGCCTTCATATAAACCAGTTTGTTTAGGTTAAAATCTTAATATAAAGATTCAAAAAATGCATTTACTGTTAGATATACGTCTTTTCTGTTGCTTAAAAAGATATGTGAAGGGTAGAAACAATTTTAAAAGTGGCTGCAAAAGGCTTCACACTTGTAAATCTCAGACAGTCCTGCACTAAACTTCATCTATTCCTGTGCAGAGCAATTTCGTCCCAGTATTAGGCAGAATAAGAATGCTGTGGAAGAAAATGCAGATGAGATTCCATGGTCTCACAGCTTAAAAACAGCTCTGGAGACTTGATGCTTTCCTCTGTATTTTCTATAGCTTTTGTATGTTTGTGTTCTGGCTTTTCCCTCTCTTGCCCCTTTTTGTATCTTGCCCTCTGCGAATCTTATGAACTGTCACCTTTCTGTCAAAATTCTCCTAAGAAAATGCTTTTTCCAAACAAATATTTTTTTTTCCCCTCTAAGGATTCTGTTTGAATTTGAATTTAATATTTTATGTGTCTATTCCATTTCCATTCTCTATAACCTGAATCAAATCACAAAATATGTGACTGGTTGTACTTTGATGTTGTACTCTGAGCACTCAAATAACAGATAAGAAAATTATACAAATATGAGTATCATAACTATTATGTACTCATTGTTACAGATGCTGCATAGACATACAGCTATCTAGACATACACACTATAAATGTAAGGATTCTTAAGGATCTCTTAAATGGCAAGCCTTATTCATTCTTCTGCTCAAGGGCTCTTCTATCATCCTGACACATTCAGACCGTGTAAATATTACTCTCTGTGTATTTTCTTTTTGAGATAAGTTAAGGGGGGGAGGAGGGAAAGAGAATGGTGGTATCCTCAGAACAGGAACAGAGATATAAAGATCAAAACCACTTACTATTTTAAAGTATTCACTATCAGCTATCTAACATCTGACTTTTGACTACACTTAACAATATATATAGCTGGAGCTTCTACTGAATTTAGCTATTACTAAAACTTTGTATTTCTGAAAATCAGGCCTCAGAAGTCACCAAGTCAGATAACCAGAAAATGAGGAACACAAAGTAATTAACTGTCTGTGAAAACTGTAGTCTAGTTGATTTGCCTGACATCACAGCGGAACTTTATGGCAAAAGTAAAAAGAGTGCCTTGGGAGCATTCAACAACTTCAGTGATGACTGTAATTTTCTTGACTGCAATCTCAGGGCTTAACATTACACATCTTCCAATGACAGCAATAACAAAAGCAGTGATAGATTCAAACTCTAGGATTCTGCATCACAACTTTGCATTCTGGTGTTAACTCCCAACTTGCGTTAAGGGAAATGATATTTTACCGATGATAATAATCCTCTTCTGCTTCTATATGAATAATAACTTGCAAATCTTCCTTCTTAAAGTGGAAGAGATTAAAAGTATAAAAAGTGGAAAGACTTCAGAAAAACTGGAAACATTGTCACAAAATATGGATTTAATTTGCATGACGTGCTGTTTGCAAGCAATTGCCCTCCGCCTGTGTCAAATGGCTCTGGGGGCAGAAAGGACAAGGCATTTGCAGGCAGTTTAACTCATGGTTTGTAAGAAACAGCTGGCAGTGGATACATGCCTGACTGGTTGTCATGTAAGCAAACCACGAATAAGAGACACTCCTGAACAGAACTAATGTCCTGGCAACACTTTACAGTCATACAGCACTATGTGAAGTGCCAGGACACTGAATTTGAGCATTAGCTCCATGCTCCCAAAAGGCAGGAGCTCTAACACAGCACTGATTTACAAGGAGTCTTTTATGTGTGAATGCAAGCTTTTTCAAATATATTTAATACATTTTAAATATATTTTTGAAATCAAAAGCTGTTTTCAGAGATGCACAATCAGGAACGATAAAATAATAATTTGCACAAGCAAATTTTAAAAGTTTTTCTTTGCAGCCTTGATATTGTCTCAGTAGTGGTTTCTTTAGATGAAATTTTCTGGATTTCCAATGAAAAGAAACTATGGGCCTGATACATACTATTGTGTGTTGTGTTACTGGACATTTCTACATAAGAGGAAAGAAGCATGGTTCAGAAATGCTAGGCAAACTGCTAGAGCAAGCTGAGACCCATCCCAGCTCCTCCATCTGACAGACTCACTAGCTTGGGACATCTCGATAATCCAGCTACATTCATGGCATGTACACGCATGAATGCTTTTGTCCTTCCAACTTAATATCTTATTAAATTATATTAATTAATCATGAAAATGGTATTCCTTCATGCTTTTAGTTGCAGTGTTGATGTGGGCAGATGAACTGATTCTGTCCGCACCTCCCAGCATAAGCACGTAAAAAGCACACGTAACAGTCACCGAAATGATTAATTAGATCTATCACGTGGACCTCAACATTAGAAGTGTTAGCAGTAGAAAAATAACATCCTTTCTATGGCTCAAATTTATGACATTTCTCTTCCAAGGAATGGGATGAGGATTGAACTGCCCAGAAAAATATTACACTGTATTCCATATAATCGGAGATCAAATACTGTAGTAAAAACATACACAGAAAGGTGCAGTGTGAAATTATCACATCTTCTCTTAAAGTTAAATGACAGTTAAAAACCCAGAACTGCAACCTTTTTCTTTTAAATCCATAAAAATAAAATTTTTCATAATTTACAAAAATTATCAGCAGTGACACGTCACTGTGATAGGTTTGTAAAAGAATTTTAAAAACTTACCACTTCTAAGGCCATAATACGTTCCTAAAAATAAAGTACAAAATGCCATTAGAAAGTAAAAAACATAAATGCAACCTAAATTGAACAGTGATGAAAATGATTAATTTTGGTTTTTTGCTGGTCATAAATATGGTATTTTGTAAAAATCACACTGAATAGGAACTGCTGTACTTAACTGGATCTCTGACCCATTTATCATACTATCTCACTTAGAAATTTGTTCCAGAGAAGAAAAACTCTCCTGAAACAAGGTAACAAAGGTTTTGAAAAAAATTACTCCATGATTTTTTTTTAATAGTACCATTAGATTATCAATATTGTCCTTTTTACTCCCATGTATCCTGAAGCTTTAACTTTTTTTTTTTTTTTTTTTTTATCATCCGTGACTGTAAATCTAGCATGTTTTGGAGTTCATGTCACATTAGCATCTGGCTTAGTTTTCTTTTAGGCATTTCCTTAGAAAACTAAAAAGTAAATTCCATATAATTCTTCTGTTATCCAGAAATAGCTCCGAAGAATGTTTTATTAAAAACAAGAAGACTTTAGTCAAAGTCTAATGTCAGACAAAAATAAGAAGCAAATAAAATAAACTTCTATCAGTTTTAATCCAGCACAAAATTCAGAGAATCCAGAATTTATAAATTTACTGTATATATTTTAATATTTTGTTTCCATTTAAAAGTATCTTTAAGAAAAGTATTAAGCTAGTAAAATCAAGATCATGTGCTCTGGCACTATGTCTTGACTAGGTATGATAATTTTAAGTTACCTAAGAAAACACACATTCAAGTGTTTAGTTGAGCCCATGTTTAATTAAAACATTACAGGAGCTCTTACCTTGCTCAAATACTACCTTTTTGAAAGTATGGGAGAGGGGTAGTTAATTTTTTTCCTTTCTGGGTGGATTAGGCTAAGAATCCTTACCCTTCTTCCTGTTCTATTCCTCCCTAACAGATAAAAATGATTGTAATAATCTGGATTCATTCCTGCAGCATCCAAAGACAGACAAGTCTAAACTGACTTCATTATTTTGAAAGCAACAGGTACAACAAAAATTTCCTAGACCAATGGAAGATTTGGGAGCCAGAAATAGTTCTTCCCATTGACAAGAAGGCAAAAGTATTTTTCTTTTTTTTAAGACTAGGGGGAAATGAGTTACAAAGACTCTTCTAGAGTTATTACTGTCTTAAAAAACTTTAAAATAATGGTTATGTTTACTAACTGAACAGGTGTATGCATTTGTGTAAAACCAGTATTTACATATTGTGTAAAACCAGTGTCCCTTGGATTACTAAAGGGCTAACTTTTATTCATAAAATCTTTTGAAGAAAAGACACAGTTCACCCTAGTGAAATGTTTAAAGCTCATTCACTGAATTATGTTTAGAAATTATGTTAGTCTTCATCAGCTGCTTACAATAGTTGCACCTTTGATTACAATTCTAAACTGTAGGCAGAAAGTGAGGCAATATACAGTAAGAAAAATAACTGCATCAAGTGAAGCTGGAAAAAAAAAAGCATCTGGAAAAGACTAATTGGTTTTTAAAGATGTACAGAAAGAACAAGCAAGACTGTTTGGGAAAGTATGTGTAAGGAAATATTTAAAGGGAAAACAAGAATGCACACATAAACAAGTTTGATGGAAATCTAGTACACTATCAAAATACAACTGTTTAAAAAAATGCTAACAGTTTGCCAGTAGTGGATGCCACTGAACTGGCTGATGTTGGAACTGCATACACAGTGGTTTGAAACTCCCTGGGCATAAACCAATGAAAAATAATAAAACAAACGTACGGAAAGAAAAAAAAAAAGTACTATTCTTATCTCTTTAATTTACAGGACTCTTTCAAAGTAGCAGGTTTTAAAAAAAATAGACAAAAATCTAAAGTCCTAAATTTTTTTTTTTTTTTAAACAAATTGGAGGATGATTTTAACCCTAAGCGCTGGGAATCTGAAAACTCAGATACGTCTCAAATTTCCTATAGATTTATTTCACTTATGTTTTAGTTTCTTAACAGTCAAACTAGAATATGAGGTTCTACAATAGTTCATTTTGACTTGTCTGTTAAGGACTGTTTGCTCAGTGCCCATCGCAACGCATGGTAGCTGGGGATTCCAACTACAACACTGCATAAGCAAAAGCTTACTGAATTTCACTAATTTTTTTCTCAGAAAAGGTAGTGCATTAAATACCAAAGTCTTCATCCTGTTTTGAAGCATGTCTGAGATACAGACTGACTATTTCAGTACTTCAGAACAAACTTATGGCTAAAAACTTAAAACTCAAAAATATTTATTTTGAGATCCTTGCCCCTCCACAAAACTGCAGTGGCTGTTACAAATACTCATATTTATGTAAAGAATCTGCAACAAACCCCAAACTCATCACTATGAGAAAGATGATATTTACAGATCTCATAAATTTGTGCTGATAGTGAACAGCAATTAAGATATAAATTTCTTCAGCTAAAAAGGACTACTTTGAAAAAAATAAATCTCAAAGTGAGCATATTAGTTGGATGATTCCGATGGTAGAATAAATAGTGTTTTCAAAATGACTCTTGTATTAAATAAGGCACATGATCTAGCTGCCAAATTCTCAACTCCAAATAAACTCTTACAATCTCAGCAGACAATATTCTGAAAACTAGCATGTAATGTATTAGGAAATTTACCACAGATAATTTATACATTATCAATATATTTTTATTTTCAAATTAAAATTCTGTATTTTTTAATCTATATTAATATGTCACTAATTTCAAAGCAAATGAAAATGGCTTGCAAGCATTTTCCTATAGAATATCCATACAGTTGAATATTGCAGTTATGCATAGCATAACATTTTCATGAATCTTTTGTACCATGGAACAGTTTTCACAAAAAGGAAGGTGAAAACCTTATCAGAGCCTTTTTTTTTTTTCCAATGAAGTAAGAAAAGAAGTGAGGTTGTATTCTTGGAGTAGTTACCAGAAAGAACGTAGAAAGTGATCTAGACTCCTCACAAGCTAAAAATTGTATTATGGTGAGTATGAATTTACATGTAACAACAGAGAGCAAACATATGTGTAATAAGAACATAGATATTATCTAGAACATACATAAACTCTCATATATAACTATATAGCTCATATAAAAATTTATGTATAACAGAAACCCTAGTCAAAAGCATGCAATAAATTCAAAATGAAAAACCAAGAATACAGGATGTCACCCAAAGCATCAGCCTCCTAGCTCCCAAAACATCCAGTATCAAAGAACTGTGTATAGTACATATAGTTCTCATCTTGACACAGAATATGAGTCAGGTTCATGTAGAAAGATGTAGCTATAAAGATACCCACTGTCTACTTAAAGTATTAATTTGTATTTGTCATGCTAGTTGCAGTCCAATATATTTCCTGACTAAAGAAATACATGAAAACTATTAGCCCAGTATTACCAGGAACAACCCTCATAAACCTGCTTTTCTCCTTTATATCGTTTGTGGTTTTCAGCTGACTGCATTGTAAAATAACTAATTGTACTTCATTCAACTTATTTCTAACAAAAAGTGCTCTTTGTCTCCCCTCAAAAAACGAGCAAACTAAAAGCATAATAAAACACATATCCTTAGCTCTGGGAACAGTATTTTTACTTGATGCAGAGACATAGCAAGGAACCACATGGTATCCCCAGTCATCCTCTGCCCACAGCCATACACTGACTTCTCACAAATGATTTCCTTATGTCTCCAGCTTTTCTAAGACTATAGACAGTGTTTACAACTCAAGTAACCAGAAACAACTCCTTCAGCCATGATAACCTGACTGCTCTCAATTGTTTGTCCGTAGTCTAAAATGTACAATCTTTCTGTCTGCCTGTTTCCCGAACACGCTTTATACATACGGTGTGCTTAGACTGCAAACAAAATGCATCAAGAATCAACTTACTACATATAATTCTCTCTATATATAAGACACTTATCAAAACAGGACCACAAAAATTGTAGACAAAAAAAATAACAATCAACATGACTTATTGTCTACTGAACCAAGGACTAACTGAGTAGGACCTAATACCAGGGGAATCCTATCCAAGGACTGTAGGCTTTGGGGGCAAAGAGCGCTATTTTATTTGCTAGTGATCCTTAATTTGACAAACAATTACTTTCTAGCAATCGAATTCAATGAAAGCATTCATACATTAACCAACTATATACATGCTTTGCTAAACTGGGGCTAAGAAACAAATATTCCACGTGACCTTGTTAACAAAAGGATAAGAGTGCCAGTTTCAGCTCCAGGAAATGCCATGTTTAAAGAAAGTCACTTTCCTCTTACTTCCTACGCTTTACATATTGCAGTGCAACAGCTTAGGGAGATTCAGTCATGATGACACAAGTTTGGTTTTACAGCTATTCGATAGCAAAGTTCTACATATTCAGTCACTGCAGGTTTAGAATACGTTATAAGAATAGAGGACCCCAAACTGGAACACTTTGAAACATATTGACTACGCTGGACATAATACCATCTAGAAAAATAACAGATGTTTTCGCTGAGTGATTTGACTGGGAAAGCACAGGCATCTGAAGGAATAAAAAACTGCTACCAAGCATTTGAATACAAAAATAGCAGTCAGAGCTGTGCAAGCCACACACTTGACCAGAATTGCCACTTAGGAAAGGGCATAAAGCAATTTGATCACAAACTTGACAGACTATCAGAAATACAGGCAAACGCATATACACACAAAAGACACTATTATGATGAGACTTTTTGCAGTATATAATTACTCCTCATTCAATCAGAAGTAACATCATTAGAACAATTTGTCAACTATAGAGCCTCACATGAAAGCAGATGCAGAATTGCTTCACAAGAAAGGCGATCTTTTTACATTGATGTAACTAGATATGCACCTGTGTAAACTGCTTGCGCAGACAAGCTCTCAGCCTTGTTGAACTTGAGCTGCCAGAAAGCTAGGCCAAGATTTTTGTTTGAACAGGAAACAGCTGGGTTGGTGTGTTGTGTAACTTTTGAGTCTTACAACTTGTCTCTTCTTACTGGATCAAACTGTTTCTACACTAACTATTTGAAACCTCTAGCCCTCAAAATGCCTTCTATTCATTATACGAGAAGAGAAGGCTTACCTTCAAACTCCTATGGTCAAAACTCAGGTCAATACATAATTTAAATTCTCTTAAGAGCCTTACCTTCATTAACTCATAGAATCATAGAATGGTTTGGGTTGGAAGGGACCTTAAAAATCATCTAGTTCCAACCCCTCTGCCATGGGCAGGGACACCTTCCACTAGGTCAGGCTGCTCAAAGCCCCATCCAACCTGGCCTTGAACACTGCCAGGGAGGAGGCAGCCACAACCTCTCTGGGCACCCTGTGCCAGCATCTCACCACCCTCACAGTAAGGAATTTCTTCCTTACATCTAATCTAAAACTGCCTTCTTTCAGTTTAAAACCCTTACCCCTCATCCTATCACTACACTCCCTGAGAAAGAGTCCCTCCCCACCTTTCCTGTAGGCCCCCTTTAAGTACTAGAAGGCCAATAGAAGTTCTCTCTGGAGCCTTCTCTTCTCTAGGCTGAACTGCCCCAACTCCCTCAGCCTGTCCTCATCAGGGAGGTGTCCAGCCCCCTGATCATCTTCACGGCCTCCTCTGGACTTGCTCCAACAGGTCCATGTCCTTATGTTGGCAGTCTCAGAGCTGGACACAGCACTGCGGGTGGCGTCTCATGAGAGCAGAGCAGAGGGGGAGAATCACCTCCCTTGAGCTGCTGCTCACACTTCTCTTGATGCAGACCAGGGTACAGTTGGCCTTCTGGGCTGCGAGTGCACATTGCTGGCTCATAGTCAGTTTTCCATCTACTAACACCCCCAAGTCCTTCTTCGCAGGGCTGATCCCAGTCCAGTCACCACACAGACTGTGTTTGTGCATGGGATTGCCTCGACCCATGTGCAGGACCTTGCACTTGCCCTTGTTGGACTTCATGAGGTTTGCACGAGCTCAATTCTCAAGCCTGCCAAAGTCCCTCTGAATGACATGCCTTCCCTCCAGCATGCCAAACGCACCACGCAGCTCGGTGTCATCTGCAAACTTGCTGAGGGCACGCTCAATCCCACTGTCCCTGTCACCAATAAAGATGTTAAACGGCGCTGGTCCCAACACCAACCCCTGAAGAATGCCACTTGTCACCGCTCTCCACTTGGACATCGAGTCATTGACCGCAACAATTTGAGTGCAGCCATCCAGCCAATTCCTTATCCGCCGAGTGGTCCATCCATCAAATCCATGTGTCTCCAATTTAGAGACAGGGATGTCATGTGGAACAGCATCAAAAACTTTGCACAAGTCCAGGTAGAGAATGTCAGTTGCTCTTCCCTTATTGACCAGTGCCTGAACCCCATTGTAGGCAGCCACCAAACTCGTCAGGCACGATTTGCCCTTAGTGAAGCCGTGTTGGCTGTCACCAATCACCTCCTCATCTTCCATGTGCACTAGCACAGTTTCGAGGATGAATGCCCTCATAAATGTTCTGCTTTCGATACACTTATAGAATGCTGATTGATTGATACTCTTCATATTGTATTTAAACTTTCTTCTATTCATGTTGAGTATTGTTTGCTGTAATTTGTTGTTAAAAATTACTTTTTTTCTTTTCTATTCTGAAGAATTGATACACTACCCTCCCTAATAAACTCTGAAGCCTTAGAATTTAGACTTGGTTTTGCTTTCCTAGCTATTTTCGTTTCAAAGGAGCATGTTTCCTTCAACTGTAATGCTTACATGCTGTTCCAAAGCTGAATCTAGGGTAAATCTTACAAAGTGCAAATTGAAAGTGCTTAGCACAAGCAGCTTTAGTGCTAGATGATGTACAGTAAGGATTTACTATACTGTATCAAGTCCTAGCATCTATCAACTGGTCCCTTCTTCCTCAGGAAGGTGATTATGGACATTCAATGTCTTGGAGCATTAAAATACTTAATGTCTTTTAGTTTTATTTGGAGATACAGAAGATAGCAACGCATCCCAGAAAATCCAACCCAACTGATGAAGTAGAATATAAAGCATTTTTTCAGTTCTCAATGCAGATTTTCACTGCCTCTATTCATGTACATAGTTTTAGTGAAACCAGCAATATAACATAACAGAACAACTTCAGTATATCATGTGACTTAGAAGCAGCTTTCTTTTCACTAATGGACTAGATTTACCAACTCATATGAGAATGCTGACTACTTTGATCTTCTCTAACTGTCTGATTGCAACTTAGTTGTTGGGCAGAAACTCAGCAGTGAGTATTACTAGCTATCAGATCTGTATTTGGCTGAATGTATTTCCAAAGCTAAACTTAAAATACAAGGGAGTTCAGAAAATCATAACACTAATAAAATTTAGTAATTTTAAGGGTGACAAAAAGTGTAGCTAGTTATTTAAATAGAAAGTATACCTGGAGAGCTCCCATTTCTTCCTCTCTTCGGAGGGTCTTCTCTAGTAGCTCTGCAAAATGAAAAACAGAACTTGTAAATTCAACTTCCTGTCTCATGACCTGAAAGAAAAAGTACTATGTAAAACAGTCAGCGAGTTCTTTGTTTTACAGCTTTCACAAAGTTCCTTTTCAGCTGATTAAAGTCATTGATTAAATTTGTCAGTGATATGATCGTTTCTAAGCATGGGCTGTTGAGGTGACTGAAAAACAGTCACAAGAAGAGTTTGACCGGATGAAAAAGCATTCAAATTGACAGAAAAACTTGCTTATGCTTGAATCAATCTTTTAGATCATTCTTGATCTAAAAATCAATCTTGATCGTTATTAGAACAGAATGAAAAAAAAAAATCAGAGAGGTTCACTCTGAAAATTGATTAAAGCAGAAGTAGATCATCAAAGTTACGTAATTATATACAAAAAGTTACTTTAGGTTACTTTAACAAATAAGTAACATCCCATAGGGAAATAAGTACAGACAATTTTGACTATTATCACAATAATTACCTTCTCTCACTAAAATGGAACCATTCTGATAACAGAAACAGCCAGTTCACTATAAGAAACCTATTAGACATGGTTTTTTATAGTGTTTACACCATAAAACCCTAATATATTGTATTCACTTCTGTGACAGATATACATTGGCACATACATGCACATACGTAACATTTCATGTTAGAAATTAATTTCTGTTTGAGTTCTGTGGGATATGTCACATGAGTTGCTTTTCTATTTTATTTCATTCACATATTTTTATGATTATAATTATGGTTCTGAATAATTGTATCATATTTAGAATTCTGTAAAACCTTAAAGTTATAACTTCATGAAGAGCAGGAAAACCAAAAAAAAAATCATGCTGCAGGCGTATTACTATTTTAACCGTGAGAAGTTCACTCATGAGTTTTGCAACAGAAGAGCACTGCTTCAGCTAAGTCAGAGACTGATTTTGAATCAAGATATGCTCTGTATTGCTAGCAATTAGGATAGTTATGAGATTATGAAACTGCCTTGACAACTTCATAGGAGTGAATTCTGACAATTAATTCCCTCAGCATCCAAGTACAGAACAGCTAATGGGAAATACCTGTGTATACTCCCTTAAGAAATAAAAATTACTGATAAATGCATAGTTCAGTTATTAAAGATTAGCTTCAATGATTTACAACACAAACTACTTAAAATATTCTACTGACATAAATTTGCCTTTTTTCCATTATTTCTCTAATTCTTTATTTTTCTTTCTCCTTTTGCTAGTTATGAAGCCTCCCTGTGAGCACACTAACCTGTCACCTCTTTTCTCATATTTCATTAACAGATTCTAACTACATGCAGGCTAATTGAGGTTTATTTTCAGGAAACAGTCCTTTAAAAACAATGTAGATAACACGTACAAAATTTTACTTATTTCTTTCACAAGCAGAGAGATTGACTTGCTGTTCTTTCTTCCTAGCCTCTATGCAGTTTTTTCATATCCTTTCTTAAAATTAATAAAATGAGTGTCTTCACTTTCTTTTGGCACATTCATGTTTTTCTGGATTATTCTTTGGTATGCTCTCCAGTACAGTGACTCAACTGCCATATAAATTACGGTAGCTAAATGTGCTGCCATCAACATTAGTGCAAAAATTTGGGTTTGGAAAGTGGCCGCCCTGTATGTTTTCTTTGGGTATATTCCAGTATTGTAACTGAGTTGGTAAAAATTTGTATTGTAATCTTAGCTTTTTTAAAAAAATGAGGAGGGAGGAGTAAGTCTATGAGAAAGGGATGGTAAATTGAAGATTCTTCCCCATGTTCCATCTGACCAAGAGAAAATTCTTATACTTCACTTTGCTTTATTTTCATTCTAATGCAATATTTGAGATTCAGTTGTACAGACATGATTGGTCTAAGGGAAAAGGATGTTATTACAAGGTTCTTTTCAAAGGCCTTTTATAAATGTAAGGTAAATTGAGCTAATTTCTGCTAACAGTGTCTGGATTTGACAGTTCTGCATCTGAAATTAGAGATATCTAGTATTCATTTACTTTATTGTACCACTCTCTAAATTTGCTGCCCTGGAGGATGCTTCATAAAATTCTGTCCCCAGAAGGGCAGGTAGGTACTGAAGTGGTGCTATTTAACTGACAATATATACCTACTTTATCGAGTCACCCTTTATGACCATATATTTAAGAACCAAGGTCTGCATTTAAACTGATGATTCCATTTAGTACTCCATCCATAAATAATAGCATGTTTTCCCCAAAGCTAAAGCAAAAAAAAAAAAAAAAAAATTAAAGCAACGCATATTGAACAGCTATACAAAAAACTCCATAAAATACAGGATATTGTACCATTCTTTGAAATGTTGCTATTTATAGTGACTGAATAACTTGCTTACTTGATCTGTAAAGTTCTGTTGATTTGTTTAATAATTTGTAAAACACTTCACATATTTAAGTTCTTGTGCAAACATGTTTTATATATTCAGTGCCAGAAAAAAATGTTACAATAAATTTAAGATAGAGAATGCATTGTGTCTGTAATACAGCAAAGATGGTCACTAGCCCTAGTGGAGGCTCCTTTTGTTCATCCTGTGAACAGCCTCTGAATTTCTTTAACTATAACTTTCTTTCTTAAAGGAAGTTGCACAGTGGCATGAGTTTATACATTTGTGAACAATCCTGCTATGATCATCTTTCAAGGCCTAATGTAACCACAGGGTTCCTATTTTTTTCAAAGCAATATATCATTATTCTCATGGCGTACAGAACACATCAATTTATAGACTGTCTAGAAGAATCAGCATTAATGAAAAAGTATTACAAAGGCACCTTCAGGCACTGATGGCTCTTCCTAAAAGATGAATAATACATGGGAAAAGACAACAAGAGAAATTACTTTTAGAAATAAAGATATTCATCAATGTATTTTCTCTCTATATTTTTAGCTCCATATAAAGCTCACAATCCTATAATGAGCTATAAGCTAAAACTATTCAAAAGGTCAAACATTTCAGTTGTTTAATGCTGCTCAAAGCCAACAGCAAGTTCAGGATATTCTCTGCAAAACTAGGGATTGTATTTTTGAGTAGTTTTAAAAAAATAATTTATTTACAGTGATTAAACTCCAAATCATCTAAGGTTTACATCTCATTTAGCTGTGTGCCAGTGAACACCAACTGAGTGTCCTTGCAGTTATACCACAGTGGCTTAGATTTATCTGATCAAACTTCCAGGAAATATACAGGTTATGATTTAAAACATTCCAGAAGAGTCATTATTTTTTGCAGTTTTCCTGACACTGAAACAACATAGTATGTTGCAAAATAGCGCAACATACCTGAAGAAATAGTGCTTCAGCCTGGAGATGAAGATTTTATTTTCCATCATAACTCTCAGATAAGTGAAGAAAAAATGTATGTAGTTATTCAGACAGACATTTCACACACACACTCTTGTTGTAATTTTCAGTGCTGGTGAAAATTATCAGAGAATAGATATACACCAATTGGAATGAGTAAAATACAACTGTACTGTCTTATTTATCCTAGCTGATCTATTAATGTGCCAATAACTAGAATGTTAAAAAGCAGTTCAACTCCTTTACCTCTGTGCTGGGAGTAACAAAGCTGGGAAACAGGACACTGACTTTATAATACCTGGAGAAATGAAGTTCATGAGAATTTGAATTTTAAAAAATCACAGCTTTATTTCAGAAAGAACACTGAACAGCCTTCACTCATTATTAAATAAGATCTTAATTATAAACACTGCATGACCTCCCATTTTAAGAAACTCAAGATACCATGTTCTGCTTTACATTCTCTCTGAAGATTGAAGTGCCAGAGAACAGTCAACAAATTGGATCAATACCAGATTTGTATGTTTACCATTAAGAATTTAAATTTGGTACTTAATTCACAACTTGTTCTAGCAAAGGCGAACACACAAATACAGACATGTACACAAAATCAGTACTTGTAGTCATAGGTACCTAGTCATATAGTCAAAACTGCTAAAATGTGATTCAGATTTCTCTGAAGTTGACACCTGCGCTTCAATTCAGTTCTGCATACCTAGCTAATATGCTGTAAACTATCCAAAATATCTGCAAGCTGCTGGCAGATCTGACTCAAGACTCTGGTCCCTCCAAAGTGGCAGCAGATCACACAAGAAACTATGTAGCAAATCATATAGCCACAAAATACTGCTACTATGTGTCATTAAAACAAGAAATCCAGGTTATTACCAGAAAAGAATGGCAGTTTGGAGGAAAGTGTCAACATATTTTTTGCATCATCAAAGTAAGAGTTCTTCTCCAAAACACAAATTAGGCCTTTCAGTTATACATTAGTAAAACAATTTTTGATTTCCCAAAGATTGCAACCCTAGAAATTTAAGTTTCATTACACAAGAGTATGGCAAACTCTTGAGAAATCGCTTAGATACCCTGATCGTTTTATCTTTAAATTTGCATTGATCAAAAATAGGAGTATATTTATTTCAAGTCTTTCCTATCATTCTCACTTCAAACATACATCTCATGACTTTCAATCATCATTTGGATGTGTGTCTCACAAAGCTGCTGAACAGATACGGCAGCATTCCTGTAGATGCACAAGGCAGCCAAGCAGGTCTCCAAGTCTGAAGGAATTTTCAAGCAGCTGAATATACCAGTTTGTCTCAACTAAAAATTACTTATCTTGCACATAAAGTTTAATCACGTTATACCACTTAGAGGTTTTTCCTTTCACACAATGTATCTGACATGAAATTAAGCTGCATCTAGCTGAACCAGTTTAAGCAAAGTGTCTCAAAATAGTTATATTCATGGCTAGTAGAGACAGCACAGCTGCAATTTCACCCTGTACCTGTATTAGCATGATTCTGGTGAATGGCCTCACACTACTGTGACAACAGTCATGGTCCAGAAACACTCAATACTAAAAGATCTTTGTACAGGCAGGCCAGACACCACAAATCACCCTGGCACTAAAATAACTGAGATGTAAAACAGTACTGGGACT